AACTGGGGGATGGAAAAGTCACCCCAACATTCCTGTTGTAACTGGGGATAGAAAAGTCCCCCCAGCCCCTCTCCACCCGCTCTGTGTGTGGGGCTTGGCTGCTGCCTGTGTCTCTGCGGGCGGGAGGCAGGTACTTACATCCCATAGTGCTCCCAGTGTGCCGTGATTTACAACAGGAGCTCCTTCCTGATGCCAAGGGCAGGATTGCTGCTGACATCCAAACCATTCCAGAGCCCTGGCGTGGTCCCAGCTCCAAGGGCTGTTGGCTGATGGACGTTCCTCTGCTCACAGCTGGGTCTGGGCCACTGGGGAAAACGTGAATGGGCCCGTTCTGAGCTTTGCAGCCTCAGAGCATCCTTAAGCCAGTGGCCAGGGCTCAGGTTTCCCTGCTTTTTGACAGGAGTGCTGCTCAGATGAGATCTCTCTCTGCTCCTGGAGGATTTACACTGCCACAAGTCCTCATTTTTTCCAGATGTTTTACCTAATAAATCAAGGAGTCTCATCAGAGGGTTCGGATCCAAAAGCTGTTACCATGACTTCAAAGGCACAGGCTGGAGTGGAAAGAAGCAGAGCAGACATTTTATACCACTCTATACTCACTGATCTTGAAAATACACTCTGCTTTCAGGATTTTTTTCCTGAAAAAACTCTACAGTGATTAAATAAAATAATGCTGTGCTCCTTCAGCAACCTTTGTTTCAAAGGATGGAGCTGCAGGACCCAGGGGCTGTGCAGGGCTGGCAGGAGCCAGGATGGGGCTGGTCCTGAGGGGAGCTGAGCTGTGCCAGCCCCTGTCCGAAGTCAGGGATCGGTAACTCAGGTCTGAACTCGCTCCATCTTTTCAAGTCAATACTCAGCTGAGTATTTTCTCCCAGTTTAAGCTGGTCTAAGGGATTCTCACGTAAAGGATTCAGATGTTCATCTTCAGATGTTTGGGAGAAAAAAAGACAATAAGAGTTATGTGGCTGCAAAATGTGACTGTGACTATTCAGACTGGTTTGTTCCTTGATCAAGAATGTAACTTTTTTTTTTTTTAATGTAGTGAACCCTTTCTTTTCACAGTGTCTACATGGTGTTGTTTTCTTTCCCTGCTCCATTTCTAAAGATAACTGCTTTGCGTTTGGAGAAGCTGTTCTGTGTTTCCAACCCCTCGACAGCATGGGCTGCTGAACGAGAACATAGTGAAGGAGAGCAGCTGAAGAAAGAAAAGCTGTTCCTGTGGTAGGTGAGCAGCAGAGCCACAGGACTGGCTCTTGATTCCCTGCTTTCCCAGAGTGCTGGCCTGGCTCCGGCTGAGCTGGTGCTGCCCATCAGAGATGCCCAAGCTGGGCTGTGTTCTGGCAGCAGTGCCAAGGAAAGCTGCTCCTCCTCACCCTCTGCCTTGTCTTCCCTTGGATCCCACTGGATTTGGAATCACAGAATAGTTTGGGTTGGAAGGGATACCTTCCGCTATCCCAGGTTGCTCCAAGCCCCCTCCAACCTGGCCTTGGACACTTCCAGGGATGGGGCAGCCACAGCTTTGTCTTATCTGCCCCCTGAGTGTTGTCTGAGCAGGACTGAGGGGATGGTGCCAGGCAGGAACAGGCTGCTGGGGCAGGAGGGAGAAGGTGGCCTGGCTGTGGGGAGCCCCTTTGGGCATGGAGAGGTGCTCAGACTGAGCGTTGAGTCTCAAGAGAGGATTTGGGCTGTCTCCTGCAGCAGAGCCATGGAGAGGGAACTGGGGGTACCTGAAGCAGGGGATGCAAGCAGAGACTTTAGCTTGTGCTGTCTGAGGGTTCTGGGATGTGAATAAGTTGTCACTTAGGGGCATTGGGGACTGTAGCTCTTGGAGAGCTGTGAAAACACTGTGCAGCCCCCAGGAAGCCCTGTAGTTCTGTAAAACAGACTTGGGATGTGAATTCATTCCTGCTACACTGTAGTTTGTACTTTATGTGTCCCAGGCAGTGGAGCAAGAGGCCATTTGGTCCTGCAACGTGTTTAACCAGATCTTAAAACATCACCATGGTTGCCCAAGGGGTGGATGTTCCAGAGGAGGGGGCGTCCTGCTGCAGCCTCATGGAAGGGAGAGCCAGGGACAAATCCTGTGTTGTAATGGACTGAAAAACAACCTCCTCTAAATATTGACATTCAAATAACTGTCACCACCATACTGTTTGTTCCTGCCACAGACTTCAGAAAAATTGCTGCTTGTGTTCCCTCCCCCACAACGCTGAATCCCAGCACCCCAGACTGTCGTGACTGCCGGGGATTGGTGACATCTCGAGTGACACGTGTTGGAGCATCAGAACAGAGTGGGAGCAGCACAGCTTGGCTCCAGGAGCCAAAAATAGGTACTATCATTGCTGAGCTGAAACCTCTCTTCTCCTTCCCCACCCAGCCCTGCCTCTCTGGCACATGCAGCTCGTAATCGTGGTGTTCCCATCAGACCAAAGGAAAACCACATTCCTAAAGCAAGCAGGGCGTTAAGTAGTGGCCATGCTTTGGAGGCAGAGGATGTTATGACATGGGTCCTAAATTAGTGAGCATCAGTGATGATGATGGTTTGCAGATTTCCCACAGGGAATGGGTGTAGAAAGGAGCACGGCTCATCTGCTGCATTGCCATGTGGAAAAGCATCAGAGACACACCATAAAACAGGGAGTGTGAACTCCTTTCACTGGACAGCTGCTCAAATCCTTGTAATTGAATGACTGAGTGATGAATGTAGCACGTTGGGTTTTTCTCTGGATCCTTCCTCTCCTTTATTCTGTAGCTCTGTGAGTCTCAGTCATGCTTTCACCTGGGTTTTTCAGTCTGCCCACTGGAGTATTTGTCTTCTTCTGCTGACCCTCAAAAGCACCATTTCATTAAAAAACCCTGACTATTTGGGAAGGGTGACATTTATTCACAAAGGTAGGGTTCTTGGAAGGTGTCTGCTCCTTTGGTAGTGAGTGATTCAAATGAGTTCCCTTTCAGCATTCCTGTCTCGCTGCTCCCAAGGCCACACAAAGGAGGAGGGATTTGTGGGGCCGTATAAATCAGGGTTTGTTACAGGGACGTCAAACACAACTGCACCACAGGGTGTTAATGGTGAGCAGGTGAGGAGTCAGAGCAAGTCAGAACCAAGGAACAAAAGCCACAAAGCTCCTGTGTCTGGCTCTTGATGCTTCCCAAAAGTGCAGTGTCTGCACACTCCTGCTCTGTCCTGGGAAAGCTCGGGGTGTTCCACTGATCCATATCACAAAGTGCTCCAGTAATTGGATGAGTAGGTTTGGTGGGAACATCTTTGGTTCTCAATTTCCCCCATCAGGAGAGATCTAAATGAAGTTGTGTGAGCACATGTCCAGCCCAGGTCTCTTCCCAACACCCAGCTCACTCCGCTGGATTCGTGCTTGGCAGAGGCAGTGGTGACCAGGCCATTGGACACAGATTGGATTAAACTTCCACTGGAGCAGAGGAAGAAAACTCCCAATCTTTGTGCAGGCAAATGGGAGTTTCCTCCTTTTCCAGCAATTAAATCCCAGTGCTGACTCCACTGAGTTCTGAGTGCTGGAATAAGAAGTGATTGGGGGTTTTGGTGTGGAGCCTTTGGACAAAGGGCCAGTGCTTGTGCTCTCTCCCTTCCTCAAGTCCCATGAGCATTTCAGGTTTCCAGAGATTCCCACTTGCTCTTTCCATGCCCTGCTCATCTTTCAGACTCCAGGCTGCAGGATGGACCATGAGTCCTGAAGGCAGGTTTGTGGGCACAGAGTGTGAGGGGATGCCTGGGGAGGACAGTTTTCTCTCCCAGAATGATCTCACAATCTTTGCAGCTTCCCAGATACCTGTCAGTCCAGGAGAGAAGTTGAATTCAAACCACAATGAAGCTGTTAGAGCTTTAAAGTGGTCCATGAGACTCCCTTTTTACAGGAGGAATTCAGGGCAGTGGAAGGTTTCAGGGACTGGATGTGGCTCGTGAGCCGGGATCTTGGATGACCACGGGTCCCTTGGACAGGCTGCACACACGTGCCTGGGCATGTCCCTCGAGCACATACCACTGTGGTTTCTGGACTAGTTTTTGTTATTTCTCAATATTCCCACTAATATTTAATGTATTTCTCTTGGTTGCTGGTAATTTCAGCGGTGAAAGTGCTGACTCTGATGTCCTTCTGGGACGTGACATTGGCTCGGGACAACCCAACAGTTTTTGTGTGGGCCTCCAAAAAATGTTCTGCCCACTGGTCTCCAATCCCAAGAACATTCCTGGCTTCTCTGGTAATATCCTTAAGCACACCACTGATAGATTTTTGTGTAGATGAATGACCTGACAACTCCAAATATTATTTATTTTCCAGGATTTCTAGATCACTAGAACAATGGGTCAGGGAGGACTGAGGTGCAGCTGGATAGTGCCAGATCCCAGCCGGTGGGGTTCATGTCTCCCTTCCAAATCAGGCCAAGCACAGCCCTGCTCCTCCTCCTCAGCAAAGGGGCTGTGTTAGGAAGGGGGAGCTGGGAGAAGGAGGAGTGTTGGCTGGATCTCATGGTTGTTCTCTGGAAGGTTTTAATGATCCTTAGCTTCCATAGAGGAAGGCACCTCCTGGAGCCAGGAGAGGTCCTCGCTCAAGGAGCTGAGCAGGGCCAAGCTCAGCTGCAGCCCTGGAGCCCAAGATTCACCTTTCTCAAGCACATTACATCTCCCTGAATCCCAGGTTAGATGGGATACTGGGGAGAAGTCCTTCCCTGTGAGGGTGGTAAGGCCCTGGCACAGGTTGCCCAGAGAAGCTGTGGCTGCCCCACCCCTGGAAGTGTCCAAGGCCAGGTTGGATGGGGCTTGGAGCAACCTGGGAGAGGGGAAGGTGTCCAGGGGATGGAACAGGATGAGATTTAAGGTCCCTTATAACCCAAACCAGTGTGGGATTCCATGATTTTCTGAGTCCTCTCGGTGCCCTCAGGCTGCCCCTGTTATCTGATGTCCTCTTTAACCTTTTAGTTACAAAATAGAAGCTTTTTTGTGCCGGACCTTCCACCCTGGGTCCTGAAGAGGGATCACTTGCTTAACAGTGACACTGGGAAACACCACAGAAGTATTGCTGTTCTCCACTGCAAGAAAAGAGGGAGACTTAGGGCTGGATCCAAGCAGACATCTGAAGGGACATTTACACAAAATTTAGTTACCTTAGTCCAAAGTCCTGACCCTGATAAACCTGCTCTCGGCTTTCCCTGCTGCAGGAGCTGCCTCTGCAAGGCACACTCTCAATTCTGAGCGTTTAACTTCTTCCTCTGCCTTCTCAAAGGCACTCGAGGGTATGTCTTCCCAGACTGACCTTTCCTGCTGGCAAGACTGGTCTTCTCCCTAAAATAGTTGGATCAAAATGACCTTGGTCTGGGGGAGGAGGGCAGTACCTTCTTCCACTGCCCAGGGGTGCTGGTGGATGCCCTGTGGGTGCAGTGCAGTCCTCAAAGCAAAGTCATGTCTTTTTACCTTTTCTAGAAGAGGCCAAATGACCCCTAGGAGGTTACCCAGGAAGCATCTCGTGTTCAAGACCAGCCTTGAAACTCCTCTTAAAGCTCCTGTGAGGGTCCTTACCCTGCACCTCTTGGGAACAAAGAGGATTTGCATGACTTCAGCATCTCCTGCTCAGGGATTTGTCTGTTAACTCTGAGTAGCATCATTACCTTGCTGGAGTTTGGGGCACCAGAGGTTCCAACCTGCACTGCAAACAGGGCAGCCCCACTGGCATGAACAGAGTCCATCTGGAGTGTAAACAGTCTGGTTTATTAGGGAATTCACCTCCTAGCAGTCACAAGAGTAAGGATGGAGAGGTGTCACTTCAGGCTTTTCTGGAAGGGGACAGGGGAGAGCAAAACTACACCCAGTGAAGACTGTAAGCAAAGACTAAACTACCTCTAATTGCAACCAGGGGAAACACTCAAGCAGACAGCCTACAAGTGCTTTACAAAAAGTCTAAAGCAAAAGCTTTTTGTACAAGATTAATCTTTCTGCCTCACTGGGGTCAGCAGTGGGAGTGCAAGGAGAGAATTCAGCACAGTCAGCACCGGTCTGTAAAGATCTATGTCCAGCTTTGCATTTCATCCTGTTTATCTGGGGCTATTAATTAGCTCCTTTCAGTTTTCCTGGGAAGATCTGTGTGTTAGGGCTGCTGAACACTCCTAAAGATCCGTCATTGATTGCTTGGGCAGCTAAATCGGGTCGACAGTTCACTACTCAGAGGTGTCTTAACTTTGCATCCTTTTCTGCTGGGGCAGGAATTCCAGGGATGACTTCAATCTTCTTGTAATGTGCTTGTACTCCCTGCTTTCCTAATTTCATGCCTAGGTATGGCATTACCATTACAAAGGAGTTGTGTTGGTTGAGCTCTGCAGGTCTGGGTCTTTCAATAGCTGATCAGAGCTTCTGGTCATGTGCTTCTGCTCTTTTCCCTCGGAACAAAACATCAGCTACACAGATCCTGGGCTATCAAAGCCCCTGGAACAGTTCACGTGCCAAACACAGCCCCAACAGCAGCCTGAGGAATGATGTTTCCCATGGGGGCTGTGGAATATGCACAAACGTATGGTCTGTTTTCCAACGGGCCTGTCAGAGCCCTGCTGGTGCCTCCAGCAGAGAGAAATATTTGGCATAGGCCATTTCCCCCCAAACTTTACTGCTTGCAGGAAATAGAAAGTGTTCTTTTCCAACCTATTTATTTGTGTTTGACTGTAATCACAAAGGGTTGTGCTTTTCCCCTTTCTCTGGTGACCCATGAGTGTCCACTGCTGTCAGTTCTGCATTTCCTCTTATCTTTCACAGAGCTGGGAGCCTTTTCACCCCTTCCTCTGGTGTCAGCTGTACTCCATGTAAAAATTCCATATGGGAGATGAGCTTTAAGGTGGGTGTGCTCCATTCAGGTTTACTCAGCACCGTGGGCAGCCTTCCCTATTTTTTTGTTTTTAAATCCACATTCTCTTGTTCAGGTGCCTGGGGAAGGTGCTCTGATGTGAGCAAGGCCTTCCAACACAACTATATGTGCTGCTAACTTTCCAGAGCATCTCTCTGGCTGCCTGTGTTTCCCCATACATTTAACAAGGGATCCCTTTGGTCAGAGGGAAGGTCCCCAGCATAGGAGCTGGCTCAGAGCTGTGCCACTGCTCAATTCCAAAAGTCTGCAAGTAGCTTTTGGGGGAGTGTTAATTAAGTTCCTAGCAGTGCATAAGTTGGTGCTCAACTTTAATTGAATAATAACCTTTCAGGCTGTGGTTTGTACCCTCCTGCTGCAGTGTCACCCCACCCGCCCCAGGCCCATGAAATCCAGACAGGGAATATCCACACTGGAGCTGTGCTGGCATTCCCATGTTCTTGATCACAGAATCATGGAATCCCAGAACCATTTGGGTTGGAAAGGACCTTAAGGCTCATCCAGTTCCACCCCCTGCCTTGGGCAGGGACACCTTCCACTATCCCAGGTTGCTCCAAGCCCTGTCCAACCTGGCCTTGGACAATTCCAGGGATGGGGCAGCCACAGCTTCTCTGGGCAACCTGTACCAGGGCCTCACCGCCCTCACAGGGAAGAATTTCTTCCCAGTATCCCATCTAACCCTTCACTCCTTCAATTTGATATCAATTTTAGGTGAAGTGCAAGGTTTCTTGGCTTTGTCACATCTAACAGGGTTGGCATCACTCACCTGCCTCGATGGAAAATTAGTAAAACCTTTCATGTGTCAGAACTGCCTGTAGCCAGGAACAGGAACAACTTCATCTTTCTGGTGTGGAAACTGCTCACAGTAAGGGATCTGTCCTGCTCCATCTCCGAGTTCCCACTGCTCCCTGTGCACAGCGGGTGCTTCTGCAGGGGGTTCTGGAGGCTCCACACCCCATGGGCTGCTGCATTTGCCACAAATTGGATGCAATTAAAAAAAAAAAAGTGAATAAGAGATCAGTAGTGTTTTTGAGGTATGTCTTTCAGTGGTAGTGTTTCACAGCTTTCTTTCCAAGCTAAGTATAGTCCATGAGCGAAAACACACATTGACAGCAGTAGTAGCAGTAAACATGACAGAAACGTCAGTGATAGTATTCCTTGTCTTCCCTTATGCTGCCTTGTCCAAAGGCAGCGCTTCCCAGAAAGTCCTGGCAGCCTGAGAAGTGGTGGACACCGCAATGACACCCCAGAGGAGCAGCTGAGTGCTACTGATTGCTGGTGAGTGGGTGGGAGGTCAACAGGAAAACACCAGACTCCCGTCTGAAAGGACAAACCCAACAGATCCTGGAGCAGCCATCAGCCTGAAGGAGGGGTTAGAGGCAGATTGCAGCCATTTGGGACTGGGAAAACACGAGATTTGTGAGAAACCTTTTCTCCCTCTGTCAAACCTCTCTTATTTGTTGCCTGCCTCAGAGGGCTCGCGGCCGAAAAATGCCACTGCTTTGCTTCATAGAACCTAAATGTTCCAATGGCACAGACAGAAACCTCAATCTCTGCTCAGCCCCCACTGTAGGTGTTGGAACACGGAAGGAGGGTCTTTTTGACAAATTGATTTCTGTTGAACACCTACACTTCTGTGCTTTCAGAAATGAAGGGCACTTCTGATAACTTCTCATAGCCCGAACTTCTTTCTCTACCAATCCCCCATTTTTAGCAATGTAAATTTGTTCTGAGCATCTAAATTCCCTCCAGTTTATGGTAGTGATCTTTTTTAGTTGGATTCCTTTGGGGATGCGAAGGCACCTTCCTTGTGCAAAAAATGTCCATTGCCTGTACAGCATGAGAGCATTTTCCTCTGGGATTTCCCTGCCAGCACGTACCTTCCACTCTGGGAGGAGGAAATGCCATTTCAACCCTTGGTCCTTCTAAGAGCATCCCTCAAAAATGTGTGTTAGTGGAGGGGGGGCAGGTGGAGCAGCAGCCTGAGCAACATGCACAGTGTGGTGGTCCCTGTTCACTGGGAGGTGGATCAGCACTTTCACCTCTTTTTGGGGCAGTGATGTTCCAACCCCACCAATCCCTGTGGGTGTGAGCTCACAGCCTTTCCTCCCCCACCCTTCTCTCTGCTCCATTTGGGATCTCTGAGAGCCTTTGTGTCTCACTTGGACACAGAGTCACATTCTGAGCTCTTTGAAGCACATTTCATATTTCTTAGAATCAATAAACTTCACAGGCAGTCGCAGAAATCCCAGGCAGTCAATAAGTCCCGTCAGGCTCCCTCAGGAGTGAAAGCAGAGTGTTGTAAGGACATTTCTTAGGGAGCTGCTGTTCAGGCATATTTGTTGTTTCAATTAGTCTGATTTAGGGGCTCAGTCAGGGGCTGCAGCCTGTAGCACTCACGCTGTAATTTGATTTCTAAAGCTGCCGTTCAGGTACTAAGGGAGTAAAACTATGTGGTAAAACCCCAGTGTGACAGCAGCTGTGGAGATTCCGATATGCCCGTCAGGGAGATCCAGGGAGATCCCAGGGTTCACCATCACCTGCATTTCACATCCCACATTCCATCAGAGCCCTCCTGGCTTTGATCACTGGTCCCCTGGGAGGAGCATGGAAAGGTGGGAGAACTACGGTGTTTTTCCAGACCTGTTTCCCTGAAGGGATGTTTAAACAAACAACACGAAAAGAAAGTCAAATGAATGCGTGTGAGAAGTGCCAGATTGGCAGCTTGAGTGAGTCAAACTTCACCTGTGTGACGGCTGCCCATGTTTTATGTGCTGTAGCTGTCAGTGCAGCACCATTCCTCGGCACAACACGTGTTCCTTGCTTTTCAAACTGTCCTTGTGTCCCCACGTTGCTCAGTCCTGCAGCTGAGAAGGAGTCAGACAGCACTGATGGGGTAAGGAGCTGGACTGCTGAGCACTAGGAAGGAATGTTGGCTAATTTGCCCTGGTTTTGGAGATGCTTAAAAATTGCAAGAGGTTAGAAATTATTTAAAAACAAAATATATACAGAACGAGTCAAGGCATAGCTCTGCTTTCAAACTAGAAACTGCCTGGAACAAAGCTCCTGTCTCTCCTTAGGAAACGAGGGCTGTATCCCTGTTGTTGCTCCCTGGGAAGAGGCCTCCATGCTCTGACAGCTACATCACCAAGGTCTTGTCTGGACTTTCTCAGCACTCCCAGGTGCTGCAGCACAACCTTTCCTGGCAGGAAGGGGCTTTGGGAGGCACAGACCCTGTGGTGAAAGACAAGTCCCCCAGGACTCCAGGGTCCTTTAGGAGCACCTTATGAGCCTGGGGAGTGGAAGCCAGGTCTTGTTCTGAAAAGTTTAATTTTGCAACTGTTTGAGCTTGTCCCTTTTTCAGGTGGCATGGTAAAAATGAAGTATGATATTTCTTCCATGAAAAATCCACTATATTTATAGGAAATTCCTTCCCAGCATTTGAAGGGGTGATGAGGTTTGGAGGAGAATTCCAGTTAGAGGAAGCAGAGCCAAAACTCTGACTTTAAAGGGCTGTCTGAGAGTGCATGAACAAGATCATTCCAGGGACTCTGTCCCTGTCCCAATTGTCCAATGTCTATTCTTTCCTGCTTCTGCAGCTCCTCCTCCCTGTTGTCACTACATCATAGTAAAGACTGGTTTTGAACTGTTCAATTAGTGGACTAAGGTAATTTGGTTAATATTTGCTATTCTATCACAAGGTTCTAATACCACTCTGTGCCTCCAGTTCCTGCCATTCAAAGCAGAGGGACACTTCAGCCACTCTTTTCAAACAGGGACTCCTGGAATCATTATATCTGTATATTCAGTTTTAAACATGTTCTGCTCTGAGATACAGGCCAAGAGCAAAGGACACTTGAGGGAGTTGTGGGTGTTGACACAACAGCCAAATCTATTTGGTCTCAAGCTTTATGCTTGGACCTGCTCATCTAACTCTGGCTGATCCATTTGTGTCTCACGCGGATAATGTGGCTTTTTCTTTCCATTTCCAGGAGTCCCCAAATGCAGGTGACCACCCCCCTGACCAGCTGGTGGGTACCAGAGCTGGAGAGGGATGACTGTGTTCCATAGCCCTTGGGAAGTGTCCCTTGGCCTCCTGTCAGTGAGTGCAGGGTGTTTGGGCTGTGTGTGTGTGTGTGTGTGTGTGGGAATGGAGAGCAGCTGCCATGTGCCAAGAACGAGGGGAGTGAAGGATTCCCACCATATGATCCAACAGTGAACTTTTGATCCATCAGCTCATCTGATCCACCTGATCCATCAGCTGGGCCTTTCAGGTAACACACAGAAAAGGGCTGTGCTGCTGTTGGTCCTGAGGTTTGTCTGTGTGCTGGGCTCTGCATTTTCTAGGCATCCTCTGCTGCTGGTCTAAGGTTGTTTCTTTGGTTTCCCAAACCCAGAGTCAAATGACTGTTTCTTTGTGCTAAGCATCAATCCTCTTCCTTTTTTCTTATCCTTTCTCCTCTCCATCATTTTTCTCTCCTCTTTGAATTCTCTCAGGCTGCTGCAGTCTCACTTCCCTGAGACTTCCCTCCTGGCACAGACACCAGGAGAAAATGTGATGGTGTTTGCAGAGCACTGGGACTTGGGAGATGTGAAATGTGGACCTGCTGCTCTACCTCTGGTGACTCACAACACCTTTCTGTGGTTCTGCTTTCCTGTCAGGATAACCTGGACTAAAACCTCTCTGGGGAAAGGATTTGCTTTCCCTGTGTGATCCTACGGTGTCTAATATAACAGGACCCAACCTCAGGTAAGACCTTTAGGCACTCCCATTATATGAATGAGAACAAGATTATTGGTGTCAGTAATTAACATTCTTGTGGGATTGTTGGAAATGCTTTGGGATAAACACCACCTGGAATCCTTGCCTGGCTTATGTGGTTTCTGAGCTGCAGAGGAGGCTGATCCTGTTTGCTCGAGAGGCCATGGACCATCTGTCTCCTCTTACTGGATGTGCAAAGTCTTTCAGGCCAAAGATGAGATGCAGTAGCTCAGGGAGACATTGGGACACTGGAAAAGTGAGGGCACGGCCTGTGGGGAAGAAGAATGGAGGCTCAGCGGTCAGTGTGTCCCCAGTAATGATCTCACCTGAGAACAACACTAATGACAACCACCAAACCAGAAAATTACCACCTACAGTGTCACTGAAAACACCGTGAACGCCTGTGGCACAGTGTCACCCCAGGACAGGCTTCCAGAGAGGAATCTCTCCCTGCTTATGTGGATGGCAAAAATCCTATTGACTGCAATGACATCAGGATTTCCCCTTGAGTGTTACCTGGGTTTCTCTCCTTCTGGAGAGAAGAGCCATATCCCACATCATTATGCACATCCTAATAACAAATGGATTATTCTTTTCCTTTAAACTGTGGATTGGATTCCAGTAAACCCTGCATTTTGGATTCTAGGTTCTCTCTATCTAGCTCTGCAATCCCTAAATAAACAAACATTGGATTAGACCTCAGCAGCTCCCTCCCTCAGCAATGGAAGGCTTTAAAAGCATTTCACACCAACCGCCCTGCTCGTGTTTCAGACTCCGTTAACCACGGATTCAGGGAGCTCCATCCTCCTCTCAAACTTCCCTGGGAGCTCACCTCAGTGATTGGAAGGTCTGCCTCCACTTGTGACCCTCTCTGACTCCAGCAAGAAGCTGGAATTGCTGTTGACATCAGGAATGACAGAAGTACGTGCTGGGGTTGGAGGGTTTCTGGCACATGGCCTGCTAACCCAGAATTTGCTCGGCAAAGTCCGGAGGGTGACTTTTAACCTCAGAGCAGTTTGCAAAACCACATCTGTGACCAATAAATGTGAAAACTAAATGAAAAAAAATAAATCTAGCCCCTACTGAATGATGAAAGCCAGCACACCTCGCTGGGCACTGGTGCTGGAGTCAGTGTGGAGATCTATACAGGAATAATTGGACAGGTCATCGTTGCCAGGAGTTGTCCGTGGATGGAGCCGATGTCTCACACACGGGAGGCAGCACAGCAGGTTAAACTGAAGGGATCTCATAGCTCTAAGTCTTAAACTTAATGAGCCACATCTTTATTTGTACTGCAGCCCCTTCTTCTCCCCAAATTGCCTTAACCAGCTGCTAGAGGATGCCCAGTAATGGAAAATTCTCTGGATAACAATAAATTGGTGTAACGACTCAGTGTCACCTCACATCCCGCTAAGCAATAGAGAAATCACGGTGAGAAAAACAGGCACAGCCAGAGTGGCACTGAACAGTGGAATCCTAATTCCATCACCCTTCTTGTGGGCCACAGATAACCCAGTGCAATTTACAGCCGCTCTGAAGCGGCTCCAAGTCTCAGCAGGAGTCGGGAAGGCTCAGTGTAGCCTCGGGACTGAGGAGTCACGGAAGATCAGGGGAGTTGTTGTTCCATAACCTTGCCTCTGCACCAAAACCGGTGGGCTGGTCTGGAATGGGAAGCACTCCAAGCAAAACACAACATTTTAATCACTGAAATGAAGGTCCTCCTCTGGATCCCTCTCTGGAGAACTGTCTGTCTCTGACGATCAGGCACAGACTGCCAAAGAAGGTAAATTCTGGATTTAAATCTGTACATCAGCAGTGTGTGAGTGACACCAGTAAATCTGGGCTGTAAGGCTGAGATATCTCCAAGAAGAGAGAAACACTTTTTCCACTTAAATGACTGAGGTAGAAGTAGTAAATATATTGTCTCCTACTATGGAAGGGCGAGGAAATCATTTATACACATCTATTACACCTTTGCAGCCTAACAGTGGTGGTTTTTTTCAATTCAAGAGTCTGAAAGTTTAGAATTACCAACATTAAGGTGGCCTGTGCGACTGTAATTTGTCCCTTTTGTGCATTTGCATTATGATCCAGTATTTAATTGTGATTAGATCACACGCTGTTCTTTCAACAGGTTCCCGGCCTCGCTCGTTCTACAGAATAGACTGTGCTCACCAAGCAATAACTTTATTTTCTCCTCACTGTTCACTGTGTGGCCTGTGCTTTATTTACAGCACACTATTCAAATATTGTTCTGAAGACAGATTTATTCATTTCCTCCTGAGCTTTTTCATGGGACTCATCACTATGGTATCCAAGTGCTTCACAAACTCTAATTCATTTTCCCAACGCTGGAGTAAGAACTGGTGTTGCACTTATTTTACAGATGAGGAACTCGGGCGTACAGACAGAATAATACAAAAATATCTTTTCATTTTAGAGATCTAATTAGAAATACTCGATGGCCTGATTTTGTCAGAAAATAGAACATGGTGAAGCATCCAATTGAGTCAGAACTTGAATACATTCTCAGCTATTGCAGATTTATCTGCAAGTGCTCTTCACTTCTGCAGATCACGCTTTAAAATGTCAGCCCAGGCACCTGGGCAGCACTGACTGCACAATCAGTGCAGTGCTGGGCAGGCTCTGTTTAAGGACTGAGGCCCTTTTCTGGAGTAGCAGTCACCCCTTCCCACACACAGTGCTGTGCTTGCTCACCCCACAGTTCCTCACAGGGTGCATAACATACCTACATCTGATTTTTACAGTAAATTAAGTGGAAGTTGTTGAGGCACTTGCCTGGGTTCCCTGGGCTTGGTTCAGTGTCTGAGCCAGGCTTATCCTTCTACACGGTGTTTGATAACTGGGGAGTGTGTTCCTTTGCAGCCTGGCTACTGTTGTTTTAATAAATATGTATTTCTTTTCAATCTAGAGATACCCTTAGAAAGCCCAGCAATTTAATCCTGTGCTGACAGGGATGCAGACCATCAGCAATGTGGAAACACTCCCTGTATGAGGGATGCAGTGGTTGGCACACACTCCAGCACTCAAAGGGGACGAGGGATGTTCTCAGTGTGTGTCAGATACCTGCTGCCAACAGTTTTCCAGTTGGTCTTCATTCCCATTCCTAACTTCTCACCTTTCTGCTCTGCCTCCCTCCCTCAGTCTCTGTCACTCCCATTCCTACATCACTGCCCCTAGTGAATTCCCTCTTCCCTGCTGCATCCCACACCCAAACTTGGGGTCCTCCTCCCTCATCCCACTGCAGCTCTCCCATCCAATCCCTGTGCTCAGCAAGTTCTTCCTCAGACACTGTACGGACAGCCCTGGGTGCCCCTAAGCTGCGTGTTCCTCCTCCCGGAAATTCTCTCCCATTCCCACTCTGTTTTTAATTCTTCTCCCAACAGCCTGGCTTCCAGACTCTTCCTTATGAGCTTGGCTTTATCCCTCCCTCCAGGCAGACCTGTTTTTCCTTCCAGCTCCTTGTTCCCTTCCACCACCCTGGAGAACCTGTCTCTCTCCAGACCCTCTGTGCCTGCCAACTTACCTGTCCCAAATCCAGTTCTCATCCCCACTGTGTGTTACTCAAGGAGCTTCCTGCTCCATGTTTCCCCAGAGGACTGGAAGGACAGGTTCCGTTCTCGCCCTTCCTACCTGCAGCCTTGGCATGGTCCAGAGCAGCAGGGAACTGGAAGTGCAGGTCCAGCTCTGACTCCCACAGCCCTGAGCTGTGATGAGGATGGAATTGCGGGGCAACGGAAGCACTGGGAAGCCTCCACAGAGCACCAGTGGGATTTTCAGGGGGGTTTTCACTGTGGGGCTTGAAGGAACACCTCTGACAAGGTGACTGTTCTCATCTACAAATTCGACAATCCCTGACAGAAAGAACAAAAGGGGAAACGTTTATAATTTAACCTGAGGTACGAACATCAGATGCTTAAATTTCAGCACAGCGGTTACTCTGGCCCGATTAAATGCAACTGAGGGTAGGATTTTATGATGGGAATTCCTAACCAGCTGAATAGAAGTTACACTACCAGTCCTGCCTTTTAATCACTGCTTCCATTTTCAGGATAAATTGCAGCTGGTTGCTGGTAATCCTTGTGGCATATCAGATAGCAGCGTAACTCGGCAAGGGTAAGGTGGAGAAACCCAAACATCCTTCTGAGGAGGTAATTATTCCATTGTGAAAATGCTCCGGGATATTTTTAGTGGCCAAACCCCCTGTTTCCTGACAGAAACATAAAATAATGAAGCAAGTTTCACAAGGAGAAACGCTTCAGACACCTGTACTAGCCGGTGCTTTGCAGTCACGTCAGTGTTTAATCCGCCGTGCACATCCCTGTGTCCCTGTGCACGGCCAAACCCACACCTGGCTTTGGGGCACTGTGGGCTGTGCCAGCGCTGCCTTGCAGAAAACCCTCTCCGCAAACAAATCTGCAAATCCCGCTGGATCAGGGATAATTTCACGGGAATATAGAGCTGCCTGAAACAAGAGGGACACCCTTGCCGCATGCACCGAGGTTATCGAGGGAAACTTTCCTTAGCAGGAGTCATACACCCAGTGTAAAAGCCTGGATTTTGGGGGAACAAATGATTTAAAACTAGTTTTAGAACATTTTGCAACACATTTTTGTGGGGATGTACCCTCGTTTCATGTCCCACAGTGCCCCAGGGGTCCGGTTATCTCCCGGTTACCTCGAGCACTGGTCCTACATAATTTATGTCCTGAAAGAGACGATTCAATTAGTCAATAATAAAATGAGCAAGGACAGCGTGTGCGTTGTAAAAATATAATTTAGTGGGCAACAAGCTGAGATGGAAAAATATAAGGGTACACTCCATATGATTAATGAAGGAGGAATGTATATTTATAGCTCTTATTGTGTCCTTTGTAAGCAGAAGGATCCGGCAGTAGGACTGGAACCGGCTGGAAACGATGTGGCATTCCAAGGATTGGGATTTGAATGGCAAATGCTGTATAAAACTAATTACCCCCAGGAGCACGAAAATACATTTAATTTGCCTTTTCGGAGCGTGTTTGGCCTTTTCTTCACGTTTATTTACGCTCGAAAAACACGTTTATTAGGAGGGGCGACATCCTAGACGGAGCAGCGGAGTTACCCCCCAAGAAAACAAGTTTCCACAAGTTATTTTTACACATTTAGCGCGATTTTGGTTTTCTCGGTCGTAGTGGATTGCGCTTCCCAGCAGCACACGGCGTAGGGAGTTCTCGCTTCCCACATCCTCCGGCTCGGCACACAGCGAGGATACCCGGATTGGTGCCGAACCGTTTGCTTTCCCCTGTTTTCACGCGTGAAGAACACGCAGGTCCCGCAGCCACGCCGGGGCTGCTCCCGGAGAGGGGAAAACACAGATTTATGGCATTAAAACCCGGGAACTTTCGTACCCCGAGCGCCGGCCGGGCAAGGACGGGGACCCCGGCAGTGCCCCTGAGGGGAGGGCGGCGGCCCCGCCCCCGCGCGCGCGCAGGCGCCGTGGCGCGCGCTGGGAGGGGGCCGGGCGCGCGCACACCTGGCGCGGGGGTCGGGGGCGGGAGGGGAGGC